TCCACTTCTCGCTCTCTGGCTCTATTTCCCTAACTACATCGTTGTCACGGGCAATTCTGTGGCTCTGGATCCCCATCTCTAAACCCACTCAAGTGCTCGAGAGCACAGTCAATGCCTTCAGTGCCGTGGGACGTACCGACCTCGTTCTCTGAGCAGCGAGGAGTCCTGGAAGCCCACGGCCGTGCTCCCCGAGGACCGAGTGGGCAGAGATATCTGAGAGCAAAGGGGTGTCCGCGGGGGAAAAGGAGTTTTCGATAGAACCGCCCCCCGCCCCTGGCATCCTTTTCTAAGTTCTTTCTACACAAAATACTGACCATAAGACCTGAATGTCTGACTTTGTACAAACCAAACGGAGGTTTAAACGTTCACATCACACACAAGCGTGGGGGCTCTTAAAAGATCGTCTTCTTAAGTGCTTCTCCACACAACCGTAACATGCGACAGAGTTAGGAACCAACAGCAGACACGGTCGCCTGTGCTGACAGACCATCAGTGAAGCAGTTTTGAACTTGGCTGTTTAAAAAGCATCTTGACATTTGGGGCATTTGTTGCTATTTTAGGAAATAAGAGTCCTGGAGTACTCAGTTCAGTCCTGGACCCCCAACACCACTACTCCTGAGTTAGGACGGGTGCTGGCCGGGAGAGAGCGAGCCACATGCTGGGCTTGTCTCCTTTACATGCCGAGAGGCCACCAACCTGACACGGTCACCCTTGTATAACCACTGCATGAGCAAAAAAATGCCCCACACCACCCAAAGCATGTCTTCAGTGACCCTCTGGGTTTACTTGGAGAAATAAAAGGCACTTTCTGTCAGAGCTCCCCGGGGGGCTCCTGTGTCGGAGGAGCACCGAGAAGCAGACAAGGAGCCCTCGGCTTGAGATCGCATCTCCGAAGACGGGTCACGACGGTGGTGTGTGGAGGCAAAATGAGCACTGACATCACCTAGTCTTATCCCTTCTTTTCAGAGGCAGCAGAGCTTAGGTGACTCCCCCGTGTGCAAGCAGATCAAGCCCAAGTCTCCAGCTAACGTGGAACTGCTCATGCCTCCGTCACCCAGAGCCTCGCGTCACCCCCGCGGCCACAAGCGGCAGGTGCTCAGATATTTAAGTGAATGATAACAGAATTTGGAACATTAAATTTTTTTAAGACCAAATAATCAGACACAGAAACTAATTCCTCTTGAAGGAAAAATCAGAATCAACAGTTGATTCTCCAAAAGTCTGCCTTACTACTTTGTATCCTACAACAGGAATCAGCAAACCTTGACCTTGGGGCCAAATCCAGTGACTGTCTGTCTGTAGAACCCAAAAGCTGAAAATAGCATTTATCCTTCTAAATAGTTCAAAAGGCTAATAGAACGGTATTTCTGATAAGGAAGTTACACAACACGCGAACTTCTGTGTGCACACAAGGCGCCCGAGCGCAGCCCCCTCTTCTGAGAGGTGCCCGGCTGCGGCGCCAGCAGAAAGGGGCGGCGGAGACAGAGGACCTCCAGCCCCTGCAGAACCGCTGCAGCCCGGCCTGGGAACCCCGCGGAGCTCCGCTCAAACCCCGGGGGAACTGCTGCCCAGATGCGGCCCCACTTGGCCCGTCTTGTTACCTCGCAGGCCCGAGTACCCACGAAGACCCACGACTGCGTCTGACCAGAAGCCCGCGGGGTCTGTGCGAGGGCAGAGGAGGACCAGGTCTCCCCGAGGCGGCCCTAACCTTCCCTTCCCAAGGCAGTGCCGACGGGGAACACTTCCGTCCACACGGCTCTGTCCCAGGCGTGCAACGGCGGGGACACTGCGCGGCCCCACTGCCAGGAACACGCGCCCTCGCCCTTCCTCCCACCTTCCTTCTCTGCTGGGTTTTCCTACCGCGCCCCGGCCCGTGAGTGACCCAGGCCTCGCGGGCCGCAGAGCTCTAACTCCTCCCCCGGTCCCCACTGTCGTCCTTGATCCTCCTCCTGGTGCGTCCGGACACCTGTCCCGTGGCGGGGGCTCCTGGGCCCCAATGGCGGGTCACTAGGGTCAGTAAGTCCGGCCACAAGGCCCGAGCGAGCACCGGATTCGCCCGCGTCTTCCGCGTCATGAGAATAAGCACGTTCACCCGTTTGCAGTAGCTCCCACCTGTCCGTCTGTCCGTCTAGCATCCGTGCCCGCAGGGCTTCAGGCCCTCTGCTCCCGGAGACCCTGACACCGCTTACCCGCGACGAGGTCCCGCGCTGCGCCCGGGCTCAGCGAACGCCCGCTGTCGGCGCGGCACCGGCGCCCCAGAACAGCGCGGCCGGCCCGGGGCGGGAGGAGGGGACAGCTGGACACGAGCCGGCCGCAGCGGTCCTCAGCCGTCCTCAGCCGCCGCTGTGGGTGCGAAGGGCGCTCACCCCGCACGCTCCTGTCCCTCCTCCCGGCGGCGGCCGCGACCGGGCTCGCTCCGGGCCAGTCCCTCGGGACGGGCCGCACCTGCTCGCGCCCCTGAGAACAGCCGGGCGAGGAGACCGGCCTCCCCCAGTCTCCCGGGGCCGGGCCAGCTGCGGACTCGACGCGGGAACGGACCCCGGCCGGGCTGCCCTTCTCGTTGGCCTGGAGGTCGCGGCGGAGGTCGCGGCGGCCAGGGGAGAGCCAGAGCGAACCCGCAGCTCCCCAGGCGCACCGACTGCCCGCCGGCGCGCCCGGGACCTCGCGCGGGGGACGACCCCGCAGGCAGGCGACCCCGCGGCCTCCAAGCCGACGCTCAGCGCACCTGGGAATTCGCCGTGGGTCGGGGAGTGCGGGCGGAGGGCCCCGGGGCAGGGCGCGGGCGCGCAGGTGCTGTGGGACGCAGGGCCGCGGGGCGCCACGTGCGGGTCCCGCGTTCTCACCGCAGGTGCCGGCTGAGCCCCGAGACGCGCGGGCGCTGCCGGTGTCCCCGTGTGCACCACCTGCCCGATAACATTCGCGGGGGCTCGTGGTGTCCACCTGCTCCTGATAACAAATGGGCCGAAGGTAGGTCCACCTGCCACCGCTTTCCACGAGCCGAGCCTGCAGGAACCCTCGGAACCCGGGCCGCGGGCCGGGCTTCTGTGGTCGTCGGGCGAGCAGGGAGCCGCGCGACGGAGGAGCCGCAGCCCGGTGCCCACACGCGGGGTCCCGGTCCCTCGGCCGACGGGAGGCGTTTGCACTCGTGCTTCCTCTTTGTCCCCAAATCTACCAAGAATCTGTACACTTGCAGCAAATGTGAACAAATATATTTAGATATATTTAAAAGAATAAAAAAAAAAAAACATTTCACAAAACATTTGTTGCCATAGGAATTTTTTAAGCAGTAAATGCCCACATCAAAATTTAAACATCGTTCAAAGTATGATCATCCGTACTAGTAAGTAATGCAACAAATTATGTAAACAGAGTGAGATACATTTCCCGCGTCCCTGCAGGAGTCACTTCCTTCCCGGGGTGGAAGCCGGCCCAGACAGTGTTCCAGGGACCAATTAAGAAACTGCTATTTTCAGAGCAACAAAAATAAAAGCTTTTATTTGTTCATTTGAATATAAAACAGGCGTTATCACAGATGTACAAAGCTTACCGGTGGTTTAACATACGAGAAGGTTGCCGTCCTTTGCACATAAAAATTTTGTTTGAAACCGTGATTGGTTGAGTACATGAATTTCTCTAACCAGTCACACACTCTATGAAATAACGCTGCTAACATTCAACTGATAAAAGGGGCAGTTTCCCGTGGGTAAAGTGTCAAGCAGGATTAAATATACATAATAAACGAGCACCATGAGGAAGCCGCCCTGTTGGGTTAGGTCTGTGTTTCAATGTTCATTGTGTACCCTTCTTTGTGCAAGTTGATTACACGGTTTTGTCTGACTTCAAAAGCACAAGGTCACGAGACAAACATTGTTACATTCCCATGGATGATTTATCTACGGCACAATTTCTAATACAGAACAATCCTTCTTTATTGCTGAATATTTCCTTCCTCTTGCACAAACGACCTTCGATCCCAGCCCCCAACCCTCTGGACCTCAGCGCTAACATGAGAGATGACAGGACGTCCCTAACCACGTGCACGACCGCCCCCCCTTGCCCGTGAAGCTGACATGGTGAAGGTCATACTTGGAAGTGATAACCTGATTTGTTTGCTTCCGACATCAGCTCGACCTCACAATTACCCTGTAGCTGTGTTTCCTAGTCAGTGTCTTACCTGACACCTTAAACCTCCTTCCCCTTAAACAAGGTGGGTGTGTGTTAAGAAAAGGTCTTTTCCTGCGTGTGGTGGGGTTTTTCCCCCTTAGGAAGCAGAAGACTGTAGGAATGTGTATCTGAAGCGTGTAGAGAAAGATTCACACACAGAGATGAACTCAAACAATATTTAAAAATCAAACAATTTGTGGAGATGGAAGGATGCACCCCACATGCAGACAAATTTTTTAAAAAGCCACTTAAAATTTTTAAAAAAACAGCCTTGGATCTCGGAAGTCAAACAAAACTCTCTTTTAGCAAAGGGCTTACTGCTGGCGCATACAGCAAAGGCGGATGAAGACATCGCCTATGGTATAATGAAGAGAGACTCTAAGGTTTGCCCAGCAACAATCTTGGTCATGCATTTCTAGCAACGAGAGCCACTGCAGGGTCATATTGGGGCAGTTACAAGAGAAATCACACTTGGACAGTGGATACCTCTTCTGGGCTGGACACAGAGGGGCCAACTTGATCGAGGAGTGTACAGATGAGACGAGGAAACCGGAAGGTGTGTGAGGCGGCAGCAGCAGCAGCAGCAGCGAGACGGAAATCAGAAACGTGTCATCCACAGGTGGCGAAATGAAGGCAGCTGGGGGGCTTTCTCGCTCCAGCCGGTGGCTCTGTGAGGAGTTCCCGGGCAGCTCAGGAGGGGTCCCTGCAGGTTCTGCTCGCGCTGGGCGGGGGAGCCCCACAGAGCTGGCCGAGGGGACGGTCTCCTCTGTGAGTCTTTTCCCTTACAGCTGTTCTGGACAGTCTGTCCACTCCGGACGACAGCCATCTGAGGGGAATCGACGCAACCGGTGCAAACCACCACGGAAGAGCATTCCTTTCCATACCAAGGACCAGAAAGGGTGACGTGAACAAAAATGATGAAGAACAAGGAATTCTTGCAGCTAAGAGAACAGTGGCGCTCACCACCTGCCTTCCCTGATGCCCGCTCAGTGTCGCAAGCACGCACTGGCACAGACCGCTCACCGCTGCCCCCACGGCAAAGGGAAAATAGTGCACGTTTAGCCTCCGATTCCTTCCCCATCTCTGAGATGGCAACAACTTCACTTGCTGGTCTCTGGTTCTAGAAGAAACAGGTAGACCGGGCTACAGGCAATCCGGGATTGCTCGTGTCAGCAAAGTGGGTGTGAGACAATCTCGCTTTATCTACAGTACAGTGAGGGGAACACCATGCAAGTGACAGCTTCTGCATTTTAAACTTTAAAATCTCCTTTGTTCATTAGTGAATTTATATTTCATATATATATATATTTGTTGTGATACTATCCACGCAAGATAATACAACACTTTTTTTATATTAGCAAACATTACAAGACTTTAATGTTCTTGAATGTTTTTCTCTTTTATACTTCTAAAGAGATCAAAATAAATTAAACGTTTTGTACATAATTACATGTGAAGAAGTTAACTTATTTTATCTTTTTAGTTTAGTACAAAGGTATCTGCAAGATAGTTGCCGAAATACACCTTATTTATAATTTCTTCTCACTCTATGCTAACTTCAAAGGCTGTATGTTAGCCTTTGTTTCTCCAGCACACTTCTGACAAAGAAAGCTGCTAAAATCTAATTGGAAGGTGCTATTTGGAAGGTTTTCTCGTACCTCAACAAACTTTCCTAAAAGGATGAAATCTAGCAATGGCTTAAATTAGTAACAAGGTTCATGTCATTAAGATTTCATGACACATTAAACAGAGAAAACAATTCTTTGTCACACTACATAAATTGTTTAAAAGAACCCACCTGGAGGGCAGAATATTTTTTTAATTGCTATTTTGGCTTAACAAAATACCACATTTACGAAGAAAGCACTTATTATTCAATAATTAAAAAAAAAAGAAAAGAAAGTTTTTGAAATGGGTTTTTCCAACAAACCGAAGGCAGTAATCCAAAGTCCTTCTGAGCAAGCTTCAGTGGTAATGCACATTCCACGTTCCACCCCCATGCCAATCAGGACTGCTACGGAAAGTCTCACCGCCGCGCGAACAGAGGCTCCGTTCCGGTGAATGTCGCCCCCGTGTCTGCAAACGTTTGGGACACTGATAGAAACGGTTACTTTCCTAGAAAAGTCTGTGGGAGCCAGAGATGACGCTACATGTTGTATGCCACGTAGATGGGGTCCAGCTGGTCGGCCAAAAACCCGTCTCGCAGGTGCATCCGCTGCTTCTCTCCCCGGGAGTTGATGGGGATGACGCCGATGTCCACCACGACCACGACCCCCACCACCAGGTAGTGCTCCTCCAGGACCACGTTGGTCACCAAGGGCACCAGGTCCAAGGCTTCCTGCTCTGACCCATCAAGCTCAACCACGACCACCAACAAATTAGTCCAGGTGAACACCGCGCTGTAAGACAGAGAAAACCGTCGCTAGACCGTGAGGCGTTTCCGTGACAACTGTGCCTGCTTCCCGAGAAGTTCCACCTGGTTCTTTCCTGACCTGCCCGCGCACCGACGGTCTCTCTGAGCCCGTGGCCGTTAGCTCGCTAAGTGGCCGCACTCACTCCCGTGGGCAGAGTTTCCTAGCGGCCAGCGCTCATGGCGGCTCCCGTGCACGCAGGGGATCTCCGTGCCAGCAGCACCCTGACAGCTGTGGCCGTGGGGCACGGGGTGCCAGGGCACCCCAGGCGCCCCAGCACGTGTGCATGGGGCCCCTCAGATGCAGTCCTGTCCTCGGGCCTGGTCAGTGGAGAGTGGGCACAGGCTGCAGAGCAGCGAGGGGTTTGGGACCTGTCCTGACCTCCCTCTGCCACAGCAGGAGGGGGACGTCACGGGAGGGAGAGAAACACGGACCGCCACCAGCTCTGTGTCCGGCTGACCACGGGCCCCGGTCGCACTGGGGCAGACACCCCAGCGGTCAGCTGCAGACGTGGGGGCCCAGCAGCAGACTGCTGCAGCACTCGCTCTGGGAGGGGTGTCTGGCAGCGGGAGGGGAACCATGAAGGTTCACTCAGACTCACCCAGAAGCCCTTTGTTTGGGATCTTTCAGTGGAGGGCGGCCCGGAAGCCTGGGTCTGGCCAGTGTGTGGGAGCCTAAGCTGCCTGCGTTTCCTAGGCTGGTCTGTAAACGGGTGGTTACGGGGCCTTAGCAGGCGTTGCTCCTGGAGCCCACGGTCTACGGGCTGGTGGGGGCGGTGGTCAGGGGAGGCCTGTCGGCCGCCGGGCTCCAGGGGCCTGCGGTGGACCGCGGGCGAGAAGGGTCCAGGGGGCAGCAAGTGTTTGGGAAACGCACTACTGTTCCCTACGACCGTATGGGTAGGTCTGGTCAGAAAAATACACACGTTTTGTTTAGTGAGACCCATACACACGTCAGCGTGGAAGGGAAATACTGGAGAAAGGGTCCCGCAGGCGACTGCTTCCGGAGTCCCCTGTGATGAGTGCACGGCTCAGCAACGGTCCTGCTAAGGTCCGTTTCCAGGATGTGCTGGTGCCACATTCCCGTACTAGGGCCCTTTATGACACTAAAATATTGCTCTGTGTGGCCCAAGTGAGCCCACACTGAGTTTGGGACACCACAGATTTTATATCATAGCAGCCACCTGGGTATAATTTTATTACAGCGTCTGGCGCTTACGACGCAGGATCAAGAACCGGGTTTGCCAGGGAGCTACGGGCTGGAGGGGCATCGTCCTCCCAGAGCCAGAGATGGCCGACACTGGAGACGACAGATGAGAAGGCGGGATCTGGCCCGGATGAGGTTAGCTGGCCCTCACCTCCATGAAACAGCCCCACGGAGGGACGCGAGCGTCCGCCCTCGCCGTGCAGCCAGTCACTAGCGGGTGCACTGGAAGGGGAGCCCAGGCGGGGCCAGGGGAGGTGAGAAGGAGCGGGAACAACGGAGGTTCAGCTGGGCGGTCTCCGATGGATGGGGCCCCGCAGGACGGAACTGTGGGTGCGCGTGTTGAGGCGAGGTGAGTGCGACACCGCACACGCATCAGCGAGCGGGCCACGGGGCAGGGGGCAATGGCAGGGCTTAGAACACACCCCAGGGGGCGGCAGGGAGCCCCCGTCACAGACCCCGAAGGTGGAAACAGCCCTTTGCCACCAGAGGGAAATGCTTGCGGCAGGAAGAACAAGCCTGGGAGGCGGTCGCTGGCGCGTCGAGCTAGCGGCGCGGAGACAGAGCTAGCCCCGTGCCGTCCCCGTGTGCCTGTCTCTCCAGGAGTCCTGGCTCCTGTCCACACTCACGTGCACAGGCGGCTCCTGCAGCCTCGGGGTGAGAGGACAGCGCCACGTCGGAAGCACGGGGCTGCATGTGGGGTCGCCAGCGCGCTGTCTCTTCCACGCGGCTGAGCCGCCGTCAAAGGCCACAGATACCCCCCTGCTATCCGTTCCCAAGGGGCAGTGAAGAACTCAGGCTCCCGTCCCCACGAGGAGGGACTGCTCGGGGGACATTCTGGCACGTGGCTCCCTTGGCTGCTGAGCCCGAGAGCACACGGGTCCCGGCAGCTGTGGGCCAAGCGGACCAGTGAACCTACAGCTGTGCACCAGCGTCCTGCACCAGGGCCACCATGCAGGGGCCCCGAGGGCCTGCGACGCCCCCAGGCCAGCCCCATGCAGCAGGAGGCAGGAAGCCGTGCTCTGGGATGGCGAGCCCCACGTCCCCGAGGGCCCTGTCTGCCTGGTCACTGGCCTCTGGTTGTACCTCGGGCGGGTCCCCTTCTCCACCTCTCAGCCTTCCCCATGGGAACCGGTCACAGCTCCCAGCAGGACAGGCATCCATGGGGTGCGCCCATGTTTCAGGGCCTGCTTGTGTGTGCACATCCATCCGGCTCTCGGAAACAAAACAAACAGCGACCACCTGGCCTCCTGGGCCTTGCCCCCCAGGGGTCAGTACCGTGTCCTCTGGGGACGCGTGGGACACGGCCTGCAGGCCGACAGTGCTCCCTTCTAGCCAAGCTCTTAATCCCAGAGCTAGTGGAGCACAAACCCGTTTGCCCGCACGGGGCCCTCGGACGCCCGACGCGCCCGCCCCACTCACCACTCCGTGACGCTCTTGTGGGCTCGGATGACCGAGGTCTCGATGTCGATCGGGTGGTACCGCATGCCCCGCAGCTCCATGGCTTCGTCCAGCGCGCCTACCACGTACAGGGCGTCGTGGCGCTCTGCGGGGGGCGGGGAACGTGTGTGAGCCTCCGCACAACGCGGCTGCGTCGTGAGGACTGAAGGTTAAACCACCCGCGTCAGACACAGTGGCTGAGGCACGGGGTCGCTGAGCGCAGGCTGCTGGTCCCTTTCTCTCATGCGTCCGGGCCACTGGGACCACCGGGCGCCCCGGACACCAGCCTGGCCAGCCGTGCACCTTGGCACCACGGGGCCCCGTGCGCACCCGCCCCAGTTCTGCACACCGGGACACTGTCTCCTCCTCCTCTGGGGCCCCTCCGCCCCATGGGCGCCGACGGACACCGTGATCTCCCAGAGCCACAGGTCAGCACGCAGCACAGCCTAAACCAAACCCCGTGCCCTCGGACCGTGTCCCATGAGGTCAGAGCTGCTAGAAACCCGGCTCCGAGCGGGACGAGCGAGCAGTCTCTGGTAACGTCCGCGAACAGAGACCCCTTAGCTCACGCGATCCCTCATGCAAACCTCGGACACGACAGCGGGACGTCGGTCCATCTTCCCTTAAAGCTAAGGAGACCCCTTCAGCTTTAGGGTAGTGAGTGTATCGGGAAGAGCCTGAAGAAGTGATCGGCAGACAGAAGACCGGGAACCCAAGTCGGGTGAGACGGAGGCTTGATCTGCTGGTTTCCACGACTGCGGCAGGCGTCCCACCTCTGGGGCCCGAAGTGAGGACACGGCGGCAGGGCTGTGCCAGAGCCCCCGCGTCCAGCAGGATGACCATCCCTCCCCTGGGGGTCTGGGTCACCACGGCCCGGACTCGCTCGGTACTTCACGGGAATCCCAGAGACCACGCCCAAAGAAAACAGTCTACGGTTTTCCCAAACTGCCGATGTGATGCCAAAATATTTTTGTGTTTTCCTCTAAATACACGCCAGTTCAGCCAGGTTTAAGCCCCGTGAGCACCGCACCCGCTGAAGTAACGGGGTCCCGCCTCTCCTCTGAGTGGCGCCGGGAGCTCAGATTTCCCCAGCACGGAGGCCTTTGTGTTTGCACTTTCTAGAACTCTCCGGCCAGGCACCAGCCTCATTTGGAGGAGGGGGCAGCAGCCTCTACCCGCCTGCCCGAGGCCTGAGCGCCTCCCGACCTCCCTCTCCTGACAAGCCAGGCCCGGGACAGTCCCCGCAGAGAGCAGTGAGTGTGCCCCTGCGGCCGCTGTCCAGCATGGGTCTCGGGCGGCCCTCGGTGGGACGGGGCAGCTGCCCGGTGGCGAGGGGTCTGTCTGCTGCATGGAGCAGCGTCCTGGCTCCTGTCCCTGGCTCAAACCTGTCCTTGGCTGCAGGACAGCACAGAGTCTGGGACATGTGGCTTCGGCGTGTGGACTCATGCTGACCCTCCTCTCCTTCCCGCCCAGCTGCATCCCCGCTGCTGAGCAGCACGCGCACACAGCGTGCTCTTGGGGCTGCGGCCCGGCCTCTCCACTCACCGCCCGGGCTCTTACCTCCGTTTGCGTCCGTGAGCTCCGTCCTCCGTAGGAACCCCAAGTAGCCTGTCCGCGCCCAGACTGTCTGCGTGTCTCCAAAACTTAACCTTGAGTTGAAGTGGTCTGACTGGAGGGACTCGTCTCCGTAAATGGTGAAGTAGCCACTGGCGTTGTGGGCGCTGTGAACCCAGATCTGCGAAGGAAGCAACAGAGCCGGGAGCTCGCCTGGGGGTGGGGGGTCTGCAGTAACCTCACGCGGACAACACCGCTTCCCCTGGTCAAGAGCCACTAAGCAAACAGTGACAATGTCCCCCTCGCAAGGAGCCCGTGAAAACGCCCAGAGGGTTTTTGAAGTGAGCACATCAAATGTGTCTGCCACCAGGCACCCACAGCCTCCCGGGCGCCCCGCGTCAGCAGGGACAGAAGCGACACGGTCCACGGGCAGATAGAACCCCTGCCTGGCTCTCCCGTGCACAGTCTTCTCAGTAAGACACAGCCCCGGTCAGAAAGCAACAGTGAGGGGGCTCTTGCTCAGGCGCCCAGGGCAGTGCGCCGTCCTCCCCATTCTCATCTGGGAAAGCATCCCCGAATGCAGCTTCTATGGAATTCCGTCACCTCCGCTCTGATTGAGAACGTGGAATGAGGGGCCAAGCCCCAGCCTGCAGAGAAATGGAGCCTGGACAGCGCCCGGCACTCACACCGCCCTTTATACAGAGGCGCCAGGCCTCCGGGAGAAGCGTCCCCTGAAGGAGGCCAAGCCACGAGGTCACCAGTGTGTCCTGTGCACAGCGGAGCGACCGGACATTTGTCTGCGTGACGGGGCAGTGACCAGTCCCCCAGCAACATCATCGCATCCCGTCGCTGACTCCCCAAGCCGCACTGTCCACTCCCCGTCCTCACTCACCTCACAGCCGCAGTGTGTTCCTCTCCATCCCCTCACCCCTCACCCCTGCGCACCTCCTCCCCTCTGCCAACCGCCAGCTGGCTCCCTGTATGTTGAGTGGTGGGGTTTCTAATGGGGTGTCAGCTACTACGGGGCAGGTCTGGAGGGAGGGAGGGAAAGCCCACCACACAGGGCCAGTGACCCCGCAGCCAGGAGAGGGGCTGCCCAGCACATACGGAGGGCTCGGCCTCGGAGACAGCGGGAGGGAAGGAGAGGTGTTGGCACCCTTCCCCGATGTCCTCTCCGTCCTCCATGGCTGGCCGAGCTGGGTGGGTGGCGGACTGGGGACAGCGGGTCGGCCGGGAAAGGTCTCGTGGTGAGCGTGAGCGAGCGGAAGGGCTTCCGACCACGGAAAACACCCGTCATTCCCGAACCCGCTTGCTACAGAAACGGATACGCTAGGACTCTAGGCCGTGGCCGTGAGCTCCGTGCCCACTGCTCCATCCCCTCCCAGACGAATTCTCAGCAGCCACGGCCAGGGCATGGGAAATGTGAGAGCCTCGACATGAGGAACCTCAGCCCACGTTTTCTCCTCCCCAGTTCTTCGAAGAGAACCATCCGCGCTTCCTTACGGAGTTCCACTCTCTAACCTGAACTTGCACAACTCCTCGAAGCAGTAAAGCTCATTTCCGGTCACTTTCCGGCCAGTCCGTGGCGACCCACCCAATCCAGTCACACTCACGGTGGCTTAGCGGTGGGGGGAGGGGTTTGCTGGTGTCGGCAAGGCCGGAAGTGGAGAGCAGGAGGGCGCATCTGGTCTCAGAGGCTCCATCTCTGAGGACAGCCCGTCCTCACCTCATCCAGACATCCCACACCTCACCTGGGGGGGCCCATGTCCTGCCTCACCGAGGGGGCACCCCGCAGCTCACTTCTCCCAGGGGGCACCTCGGAACTCACCTCACCCAGGTGGGAGTCACCCAACGGTCCTTTCGTTTCTGGATTCGCAATTATGATCCGAACCCCTGGAAGTATCTATGTGGGAAAGGAGGACATTCTGGTCAGTGGACACAGAGGTCCATGCTGTGCACGAGTTGACCTTGACCTTGCCTTCAGGGTGAGAAAGTACTATGGCTTTAAATCAAAATCCCGGACCGCAGCATGACGTAATCACCGTGTGGCAATTGCGTCTTATCGCATTTGTTACTACAGTGACGGAGCCTGTGTTAATGTGACTTTAAAATTAAGATCTGAATCAAAACAGGATGAACGATGTAACACAGCTTGCAAGACGTCGTCAGGGCTCTCAGTTGATCTTCCAGTTATAGTCAACACTGTGCATGACATCAGGGGACGCCAGTGTGGAGGCAGGCCTGCAGTCAGCCCAGAGGTAAGGAAGTCACGGGTCAAGTTTTCAGAGACCCAAGTACCCTGAAAGCGCAGGTGGGTGCGGCCCAGCGCCACGGAGGGATGGTGGGAGAGCTGGTGCGTCCCGCCGTGCTCTGACCTGAAGGCCCGTCCAGCTCTCGCTCTCAGTCACGCTTCAACACCCTCCGGCTCTCGGTGTCTCGTCTCTGAATGTCCGTGTCACGCATTTCCTTCTCGATGGACGTTTGGCTTGGAGACATTATGAATTTCACTAAAACCATATGCATATGCAGCAAAAGCTGGTGCTGTAGTTTAGAGGACTGCCCGTGTGCAGCTAATGGGAAACTCTGAGATCTGGCAAAACATTGGTGAGAGGTCCTGTCCTGTCCTGTCCCTTCAGTCTGACGTGTGACATGACAGCTCTGGTCCCTTCGTCCCACTAATGGCTGGCTTAGGGTGGGCAAGCCCGGCATCCTCCCCTTGGAACCAGCTTCGTACTAAGAACTCTAAGTGGAGCTCATGTAGACGAAGCGACATAAGGCACTCCTGGAAATGCGCCAGATGGAGGACAGACAGGACAACTGGGGCCAAAAACAGGAAAAACTCTTCACTTAGCCATAAATACACGTCTTGCCCTCTAACCCACATAAAAAAACACACCCACTGTGACAGGAACTACACTGTCCCCTGACCGCCCCTCTTCATTCACTTTCACGGCAATCGGTACCAGCTTTTTCCCCCCTAGGCCCAGGACATTCAGAACTAATACAGCGTTTCCAACTTCTTTCAGCCAGTGTGACTGCGTGACCAGATTCTGGCCAGTGGTATCGAAGTGGGTGCGAGGCAGCTTAGGAGACTTGCTGAGCTCTGTACCTGCAGTTTCCTTTTCCTGCTCTTCTGCTGCTGCTGGAATGTGGAAGTGATGGCTGGAGCTGGAGCAGCCACTTCGGACCCTGAGGCACCCTTGGGAACGGAATCCGTGCAAACTCAAGTAAGACAGAAGGGGTACGGACTCTGGAGTTTTCATGATTTCTTTTACGTGAGAGTAAAAAAAAACCTCTAACTTGTTTAAAACACTGTTGTTGGAATTTCTGGACTCATGGCCAAACCCAGTTCTGAAATACTACATTTAAGAAAGCTTTTTGGAGAAAATATTCTATAAGATGGATTTCTTGAAATGTCAAAGCCCACACATGCTGAGCCTGAGACTTCCCCAGAAATACGTCTTTCTTCCGTCAGCACTTACTTTTCCTGACTCCATGAGGGGCAGGCTGTGAGGGGAGCCTCTTTCCACCAAGCGGACTCTGCAAACAGAGAGAGAAGGTGTGATGACGTGCGTGCTCAGGAGCCGACGGTGCCCTTCCTCCAGTCAGCACCTGCTCGGGGCCGGGCGGGGGAACGTTTGGTCGGCTGGTGAGCGCCATCCAACGCAAAGACAGTTCAGAAACCAAAGAAGAAGTGGTCCGGCAGCAGATGGCTGCTGAGCTCTGGTGGGGAGACAGAGACATGGGACAGGCCACAGAGACAGAGGCCACGCCCCAGCCACCAAGCCGGCACAACAGCTGGGAAAATGATTCCGCACCCAGAGGAAGCAGGACTGAACTCAGCACTTGCAGAAAAGGACAGGAGTTAAACGTCACGCCACAGCTCTGAACCCGGGGCCGGCCGTGGGGACCGCGAGGCCCAGGGCTGAGGCAACAGGAGGCCCAGGTCGGTGGCTGCAGGAGTCTGACGCCTGAGCGTCTGGGCCCCAGGGGATAGGACCAGCCGACTCAGATAGCAAAAACTTCTTTCAGAAAAGAAACTCTTTTCCATTAAAACAATACTTAATGGCGATTTAATCTTAAGAACTGTGGGCAGGGGCGCCTGGGTGGCTCCGTGGGTTAAGCCTCTGGCGTCGGCTCAGGTCATGATCTCAGGGTCCTGGGATTGAGCCCCGCATAGGGCTCTCTGCTCGGCAGGGAGCCTGCCTCCCCCTGTCTCTCTGCTGCTCCTCCTGCTCATTTATTACTTATTACTTATTTATTACTTATTATTATTTATCATTTATTACTTATTACTTACTTATTACTGCTTACTTATTACTCTCTAATAAGTAAGAAAATCTTAAGAACAACAACAAAGAACCGCAGACAACGTTCGTGTGGTCACAGCCAGAGCTGGCTAAACCCTGCCCACCGTTTCTCCTAAGTGCCTGGTCCCTCTCGGCCCCGTACGGCTGCGACGGTCACTGGTCCCCCATCTAAAGGATAGTTGTTCTTGCAGGAGACCGTGGCCGGACGCTGTGGAGCGGAGTTGGGAGCACTGAGGGGGGATGTCGTGTGTCTCCACGCCCACGGAGAAAGGGAGCTCAGCACGCCTGCCCCCGCCCCCGCACCATCACGGCGACCCTCCTCCTAACTCACAAGTACCCCCGAGACAGAGGGGGTTGGGGGAGAGGTGCCGGGGCACCGCAGGAGGAAGCCCGGTGGCAGCGCGCGGGCTGGAGGGGCCTCTAGGCCCCGAGTGTGGTGCCTTCTGCTGTCGCAGGTGGAAGGAGCCGGCGTGGGGTGAGTGGTGCCGAGTCGCGGGGCTGGGGCAGGAATGGAGGGTGGACACCTTCTCTTCGGCAGCCTCGGGGAGGGGGAGCGAGGGCCAGGCCGGTGCCAGCAGTGACCTGGTGAGGTGGAAAACTCACTATTCCAATTTGGGATCTGACGGGAACCACTCGGATCTCTGGTGTTTGTCTTAAGAGAGACCCTGATGTTCACGGTGGGAGATGAGGGGTCATCCGAGAAAAACAGCCTGGACCTCACGCACGGTTCTAGAATATGCCGTCAGGCCCGATGACGTTGCCGTCCAAAGCTAGCGCTGGGTGCAGTCATCCAGAACTGCGGGACACAGACCCTCCTCCGGCCCAGGTAGGCCGCGCCAGGACTCAGGGCTGCCCTTGCCACAGCACTGAGGGCCCGGGGGCTGGCCTCGCTGCAGCACGCAGCCGGCAGACGCGCCGCTCTTGCGGGGTCAGGAGTCCGGGCCTCGGTGCCGAGCGAGCACCAGGTGACGTGGGCGCGCCTGTGTCCGGCGGCTTGCTGCCCAACAGTAGCGTCTGGACAGCGGTAATTTGCTGCACATGGAGAAAGCTACGGGGCCGTGCAGCCGAACTGGGTGGAAAGTCAGGAGTGGGCGGGTGGCGGAGAGAAGGATGGGCTAAGGAGAAAGGGCCCACAGACGCACCCCAGTCTCTGCAGGAGCAGGGCTGCTGTCCGGGGTCCACAGCTGGCCATACCCAGGGCAGGTACCCCCCATGGCCAGGAGTCAGGCTGGGGAGCACTGCTCGGAGCCAGACACACGTCTGCTCTGCCAGCTGTGCGCACACACAGCCGTCGCTGCTTCAGGCCGTCGGAAAGCCCCGCCGGGCACTTTGGACGGCCCCAGCAGCTCTGCCCACTGCATCAGGACCGTGAGGATGTGGGAGAGGAAATCCTGGTGTCAAGGGTGGAACCAGAACACGAAGGGCAATGTCCCCGGACACTGGCCTCGGGGTTCAGGACCTGCTCCCCATCCCCGCAGGCTTCTACCTGGGCCCGGGGCCTGGCCAGTCAGAGGGGACAGCACAAGGGCAGGCTCTCCTCCCACGAGCGGGGCTCCTGGCCACACACACACGTCAGCCTCCTCTGCCCTCATCCTGCTCGAAGGGACTGCTTGTGCCCCGTCCTTCCCTGTCTGATCCGGAAGGAGGGACCTCGTCCCACACGTGGAGTCACAGAGGCTCTTCCACAAGTTTCTCCTCCGGCCAGTATGGAAATGGCGTTCTGTGTCCGAGCCCCGTGGGAACAGGGACAGGGTGCTGGCATCGCTCACAAACCAGCCACTAATGCCACATAAGACTGCCCTCCGTCCACATGGAGGAGGAACACCCCAACAGTGGACGGCAAAGGACCAAACCCAACCCAGCCCTGCCGGGACCAACAGGCAGAGCCAACTCCTGAACGTGCTGGGACCTGCGCTTGCAACATGCGTGGGAAGAGAGGGTTTTCCGTGCTCCCAGAGACGAATGGAGACACACGGTGAGCTAGAAGGGCGGCCTGTGTGGGTGCAGCCCTGCTCGGTCTGCAATCCCCTCAGCGTGGGGGGGCACCGCTCACGGAGCCGGCTGGCGTCAGGTCGGAGGAGCCCTGCATGACCGTGGGCCCCCGCCTGCCGCCCGTGGCTGTGGGGCCGCCGTGGGCACTGCCTCTCCCAGTGGTCTGGAAGGTTACAGCCACATGGCAGCACACGCGAGGGCTTGTGGGCACAGACTGTCCGCCAGCAAGCGGCCTGGGTCCCTCCACAGGGACGCGGGGCAGAGAAAGTGGTCCTGTCTCCCGAGAGGGGACAGACTGAGCCCACAGCAGAGACCCTCTCGGGGGGACTCTGGCGGGCGCTGCAGGATCTCTGGACATGACGCAGCCGCCGACACACCCGCCAGCCCAGGGACGCAGATGTCCTGCCAGTGCCCTTGCTGCCCCCACGGCCGTCCCTGTGCACTGAGCCGGCTCCCAGAGGGTCGAGAGCCCCTTCCCCAGCTGACGTGGGTTCTCAGCAGCTCACGAGCTCGCTCAGGGCGTTGGTCGCTCCCGTCCCCTCTAACCTGGCCGGGCCGCCGGAGAGGAGGAGCCCTGCTCATTGCTGACCTTCCCAAGCTCAAGAACAAAGCTGGGGCTCCCCAAAACACGGCTTCCTGTCTAGTCTTTCTTAACGATGCGAAGCTCAGGCTTTTGCCGGAAGAGATAGCAAGGAAGACGGTGAACGCGGGGCAGATTTATGATTCCCAATGAAACCCCACCTTGTGCTCTGAACTTGGACAGTTTTGCCCTGACCTGAGCTCTGCCCTGCCAGGCGGCAGCTGTCCGCGTGACGCAGGGTCGCTGCAGCAAGACATCCGCTTGCAAAGGGTCCTTCCTCCTCAGGACTTCCTCCGGCCTCGTGGGATGCACCGGGGGGCCACCACAGTCTCATGAGTTCCCCCACACTCACCCCCTCCTCCACCTGCCATGGGTCTGTGGACCACGACTCCTGCCCTGGGCCAGGCCCACCAACACTGCCCCACGCAGCTGGCCACCTGCGGACCAACCACAACGTCACACTACCTGCCCCAGGGCTGCCAGGAGCGTCTGGATAGGGTCCCCCGTCCCTGCTCGTCACGCTGCTGTCCAGCTCTGGTTGCCTGGTGGCCACTGTGACCTGGAAGGCGAGCACCGTCTGCACCTTCAATCGCCACAACCCGCTCGGCTACAGCAGACGCAGAGGAGGGGACAGGACCCAAAGTCGTCGCCAGAGGAAGAGGAGTGGCTCTGCGCCTGCCCCCCATGCCATGGACGTGCTCCCAGAAACCCCAGGGCTTTCACAGAAACATCCTTCCAGCGTCTGAAGCAGCTACAAGACTGAATGCAACATAATGGCACCCTCTGAAGTTCCAGAAGACGGCGGGATGGGGGCACGTGGGTGGGAGGGACCCCTAACGATGGGGTGTGGCAAATGCTCCAGGATGTGGGGTCCCTGCTGCTGGTGCCGTGGCTGAGTCTCGTCCTCAGCCTCCCGGAGGCCAAGGCAGAGGGAGGAACACGAGACCCGTTTTACTGTCCGGGTTTGGCTGGTGCGTAGCCTGCGGCATCCTGTGCGGCTGGTGGAGCGTATCCGAGGCCAAACGGGGACGACACAGTCACACCCGCAGCAGGAGCGACGCTGCAGGACACACCGAAGGCCGTGCTGCCTCTAAGGGAAGCTCGCCCCCGGGGTCAGCCCTTGATGACCGCGAAGGGTGACAGCAAAGGTTTCTAGCACCCCCACGCCTGGGGGGTCACGGAAGCCCCAACCCAGAAGTCACCCCAAAACCAGGGCAGCAGGCAGAACAGAGGAGCACGCTTACATCCTATAACCACTGTCCGAGTACCTACGTGTGACCGCTGCCTCTCCTCCTACAAAATTACAAGCCTGACATGCTCCCGCCCTCAGCAGCCCTCCTGATTTCTGGTTTCTCCTCGTCCTTCCCTCAGGCTGAAAGGAGCCTTGCAGCCTTTTTCTCCCTGTTGGTGTTTGTCTGTGCACCCTCGGCGGGGCATGGGTCAAGCCCCGTGTCCATTCCTAAGGTTTTGATGCAAACTCATTCAAATTAAATTTAGGGAAAATGTCTGTTTTTCAGACATCCAGGCTTTTCCTTTTAACTAGTAGCGTTTATTTTTTGGGATAGTTTTATTTTATTTTTTAAGATTTTGTTTATTTGAGACAATGAACAAGAGAAGTGCACGTGAGTAGTGGGGAGGGGCAGAGGCAGAGGAAGAAG